TTACTAGTAGTAAGGCACTTGTTACTAGTAGCGATGCACTTGTTTCTGCTAGCTTCTTGTTCCTAGTAGCTTCTTGTTACTACTATCATTCCATTTCGTTGGCAATGCCATCACTGTCCCACACAGTGTCCTTGCGCTGTCCATCGTACTTCATGCCACCAGCACATGCTCTGTTGACCCAATTGGGTTGGTCAGGAAAGCTTGGTCAGAGAGGTTGACTGCCTACAATGCCTTCCTTTTCTCGCATGAGGGTCTCGTGCACCTGATCCCGAAACGAGATTTTTGGCATTGGGTTTCGTTCAAAGACTTTGACCCCCCAAGTCTTGGTAGAGGGTGGAATCTTTGTGGGACTTGTGTTGACCAACAGCTTGATCTCAAGGTGTGCGCAAACCAACCCATTGAAGAGATCATCCATGAATTCTGGAATGCTCCCGATATTGCAGCAAATCTGTGCCTTGAATGCTGACATTCGGATTTGCAATCGATCCACCATCGAGCAAATTGCATGCCAAGAGCGCAGCTTTCGCCTTGCGCTTGGTTTTGCTACCCTTGGCAATTGTGAGCTTCGAGCCGCCACCGGCAACGGAAACCGAACTAAGGTCATCACAGAAGATTCCGATGTGGCTTTTCCTCGCCAAATTATTTCCATCTCCGCCAGGGACTTTGACGAATATTGTGCGTCCGAGCTTTTCTGGTGTATCCAAAAGGTCGTCGAAACACTGCAAGACGACGCTACGACGAGCAAAGGTGAAGTGACAATTGTTCTTCTGCCTGAACAGTTGAGCGTCACTGTGTGTGCCTCCGATGAGACAAGACGAACACTTCTGCAGAGAATCGCCGATCTCCCAGCCATCAGAAACCGAAGCAAACGGATTTGCAGCATTCCAGGGGAACATCGTTTCTACCTTTTGGCCACTGAAGCACAGAATTGCGAAGCCTCTACTTCTGCAGAAGTCATTGTAAGATGTGATTATGTGAATGCCTTTGGCGCTCTCATTCCTGATCAAGAACGATCCCTGAGCTTTTCAATCTCTGGCAATGCTCCGAACAAGGTCATTCAGAGTGTCAATGGACAATCTGTTCAGCAGAGTCCGCCACAGCTGCGTGATGGAGACATTTTGGACGTGCGCTGCCCACTCCCAGTTCACGCAGGAGGACATCATCTCAACACGAGGGCACCACCTTCTTTGCCTGCCCTTTCCGACTTCACTGCCCGTGTCGAGTTCATGTGTGACACAAATGGTTGGGCAGCCTCGGACGAAATGTACCACTACACCCAGGCTCTCCAATGGCGACAAAACTGGCTGCGTTTTGCCACACCTCAGATGTGGGATGTATCGAAAGGTGACTTCGAAGAGCCTGTGTTCGGTGAACTTGACATCCCCAACAACGCTACAACGGCAATTCCAGTTCTGATTGGCAGTCACTGGGCGGGAATCGAGATTACACGACGTGGTACTGAGACTTCGGTGACCTTCGTCCAGGTGCCAACGAACCTTCACACAGCGTTGACCTTCTTGGTCGCACGACTCATTGATGTCGCTCCTCACAGGTTCCAAGTACAGTGTGAATTCAATGATCCCCAGCCTCACACATGTGGGTGGGATTTGATTTTTCGCTGGTACAGACGCCATGGAATCCACCAAGGTATTGCTGACATTTCCAATCACATGCAACTGAACGATGAGTACAACGATTTGATTCAGACTGCACTGCAATGTTCCAGCGAAGATTGGGCCATGGCACAAATCAACTTCGAAGTTGGGCAGCTGGCCTTCAGTTTGCGTAAGAACTTTTTGTTCTTTCTTGCCAGGAGGGAATGGCAAGGCAGACCACATCAACAAGTTGCCCTGTTCACTGCATGTCCACCACCGGCGCCGCAGCTGGGAGCCGTTCCTGCTGCGCAAAATGCGCCTTTTGTACCTCATCCGTTGCAGCTCAACCGAACTCAACTCACGATCGATAGAATCCGGCATCGCTTGATTCAGATCTTGCTGCACCCGGGCTGGCTCTCCTCTGACGAGCTTGACATCGCACTAGAGGGGCCTCGTGCCATGAATCCACAGACGCTCTTCTGCCCTCCATCATCGTGGAACGTTGGCTCTTCCAGTCTCCGCTTCTTCAACGACTACATCCCCGACTACAGGGCCTACAACCAAGTGATTTGGATCATTGAAGTTGATCGACACTGGGTTCAAGCAGAAGCATATTTACACGAGGATGCCTCAAACTTTGCGTTCACTTTTCCAGTTGATTCGCATATTCGTTTGCAGCCGTTAGTTGACCATTTGATCAATGTCACCCTTGCCAGGGACACCCAGCTCTCAATTCACTTCTATGACCAGCGCAGTCCAATGCATATGTGTGGTTTTCAACTTGTGGCTCAGATCTTTCACCGTCTTGCTGCCAATACAGTGCCGCTTCAAGCAACACAACGAAGACAGCTCAGCTTTCATTCGCTTGCTGCTGATCTTGACAGAGCACATGTTGAGGCAAGGGCAGTATGGACCAATGCAGGTGCTGATCCGCACTTCATTGACTTTGCTGCAAACATTCGGCAATGGTTCCTGATCCGAGTTGCAGAGAACCGGTTTCCGGCTGAATACACCTCAGCAGGAGCCAACAATCAGCAAGATGTCACCATGCAACCAGCCGATGGAGCTGCCGCGCTGCTGACGCTCGCCAAGCTACAAGCACATCCAGTGAGAGCAAAGATCCATGGCTCAAGTCTGATCCTTGGCTTCGTCCTATGCCTCGCCCTGCGCAGAGCAAATGGGAAGACCTCGTGATCAAAGCTCCAATTCCTGTTACGGGCACAGATGGGACTCCTCTTTCCCAGTCGCCTTCAAGTTGGAGGAGCTCGTGGTGGCATTGTTTTTGCCACCAAAGCCCATGTCCAGGAGATTGCCAAGTGCGCTGGATCCAGTGATCTCGCTGTTTTGCCTCCTGCAAGTGACAACATAGCACTTCCTTTGCTGCAGAACAAGCTTCAAGGCCCGTTCGAGGTGTCGGTCGACGATGCTTCTGCCAAGATTGCCTACAAGAGGCTTGTCATGCTCTTCATTGTTCGAGGCACCATCAACTACAAGCTTCCCACACCCATTGCGAAGCTTACAACGGGCGCTGTGTGTGAAATCGTCCTTGAGATCGACGGGAGACTTGTTGCAAAGAGTGACCTCGACAAGTATCGCGAAAGCCCAATTGCCTCGTTCAAGACACTTCTTGGTCAAATTGCTCCGAAGCTTGACAACTCTGCTGTGATTTTCGGTTATCGTGTTGCAAACCACCCCAGTGGTGCCAAGCAAGATCCCTTACTCCAATGCATTCTGAAAGCACCACATGCAGTTCGCACGCCATTGATTGAAGCAAGTGGGTTCACACCACTCCTTTCGCGGGACTTCCTTGAGAAGGGACGTAACAGTGAGGACACGACTGTACTTCCAAGGTTTTGGCCACCCACGTTGACTGAGCTGTCCAATGTCAGGAAAACAGTTGAGGGCACCGAGGGCCTCGCGGGGCTAGTGTTGACGCGGAGAGGCATTGCCCCACGCGTTTGGGTTGCAAAGATTGGCAAAGCTCGAGCTCAGTTGCTTGCTGATGATCCAAGAGTCATTCCAGAGAACATTGATGTCATTCCGAAATATACGTTCTCACTCGCTGGATGGCCTGCAGCCACTGGGGCCCAACATGTTGTCACTTCGACATTGCAGGCCTTGAAGCTTCCAGTCTTGCCTTTGAGGACGTATCGAGCGGCTGGTGTTCATGTCTGGATCGTGACCACAGATAAAAAGCCTGATGTCTCGTCTTTCCCTTTGCAAATCAACGCCGATGTTGTCGAGATCCTCATCCAAGAGGTCGAGCATGGCCCTGTCAAGCAGGCCTTGTTCTGGCACCTCCTCCAGCACGTCAAGATGATGCCCGCATTCAGCGACTCGAAGAGCGCTTTGACAAGATCGAAGCCAGACAAGCTACTTTCGAATCCAGGGTTGATGGTAAATTTGATTCCATCCAGGATGCTTTGCGTCAGATCCTTGCCAATACAAACACGAGGGCCCGTGAGCCGCCAACCAAGCATTCGAAGCAATGTTGAGGACATAGGGTGGGGCCCTGGACTTGGGCCTTTTTGTCTGTGTGTGATGTCTTTTGGTGCGCTTCCAGTTTCCTGTGTGCTGCTTGCTTCCACCAGGATCCCACCGTGTCACTGATCGTCCTTGCAAGCCGGCTCCGGTCTGTTTGCTTTTGGGGTTCTCGCAATTATCTCAATTGCAATTTGTGTCTCCAGGCCTGGAGGACGACATGTGCCTCCCTTTGTGCTGCCTGTCAGTTAATGGACTTTTGGATCCACTCGCTCCTTCCACTGACCTTCCTCAGTCTTTGGACTTTGTCTTGCGTTGTCGCTTTGATTTCCTGTTCCAGTTTCCTGTGGAGTGAGATCCTGGTCCTCAATTAAGGAGTTATCACCAATCGGCAGGTTGGACCTTCCAACCGCTCAGTTTTGCTGCGCAAAAATTTCGCTACTGTGTCCAGGAGTTCGGGTGGGAGACTATCCAGTGTGATGCGCACTTTGCGCAATCTTGGAACCCCCCGCGTCCATGTTTGTGGACGATTCAGTCATTTGATGCTACGCTTGGTTTTCCAGGGGAAGGCCCAACGAATTCTCAGTTCTCACTTGTCTCAGCCAACATTGGATCTGTCATGTCTGACAACACTTGGAAGACTTGGAACGCTGACTGTGTGTGTGTCTTCAAGAAACGCGTGTTGGGAAGAATAATATCAGATCGGCTTCCAAAACCTTTCAGACGGCCGGTTTTACTCCGTGCTTTGGCCAACTTCTTCCAGGGTTGTGGTATGGCGGTAAGTCCACCAAGACACCCTGTGGTGGTACTCTGGTTGCCGGAGGTACGGCATATACGCAAGCGTTTGATCCCATGCAAGATGTCTCAGGTGTGTTTGATTCTTTGTTCAAGACCAAGAGATTTGCTGCCGCATGGATTCAAGTCACCCCTAAAAAGAAGGCTCTTGTTGTTTCGATTTATGCCACCACCAGCGCCTCCCAAGATGCACGCGTTCACGAATCCAATAACTTGTTATTTGATGACGTTTTCACCTTTGTTGCGCAATTTGGCCAAATCCCAGTGATCATTGCCGGGGACTTTCAAGCACCCCCTTTGAGCTACCCTGCTATTGCGAATGCTGTTTGTTTTAGGTCCTGGCATGACCCTGTTGCGGTGGTTGATGATTTTGCACGTTTGCTGGTCTGGGGAAGCGTGTACTTCCATCGACGCAGTGCTTGTTAATGACATCGCTTTCGCTGCACTCCGTAGTGCTGAGGTACTTCAAGTGTTCGGGAAACAACACCGTCCCATCAAGTTGGTGTTTGAGTGGTCTTCCATTAACCAATGTGGGTTCCACATTGTCAAGGCTGCCCCTTTGCTTCTTGACGATTGTAGGTGTGACTCGGTGTCTGAGCCTCCAATGTCGTGGGGGGACCATAGCAAAAATGAATTCGATCAACACACGGACCCTGAGTCCAAGTGGAACGTTGTCAATGAGTTCTTGCAGAAAACTCTCATTGCCAAAGGGGCCCGGTGGGGAGATGGTCAGAGAAACCGAGGCCAAAACGATCGCCCCAAAGCAGCCGTGCTGCGAACCGTCACGCAGTGTTATTGGCTCGTTTGTGCGGTCGTCTGAACGAACTTTTCACACGGCTTTCCCGGCTGGGTGGCTCGGCTCAAGATCACTTTATCACCCAAAGAACAGCCGACAAAACGCTTCACCAACTTGTTTCGCTCGATGCCCCTGTGAAGTGGTCTTGGAATACTCTCCCTTCTTTGACTGAAGTGTACTTTGCTAAGAAGTGGGCTGACTCCTGTTTTAGGACCTTTGAACTTCAGTTAAGGGCCAAGAGAATTAAAAGTTGGAAGACCAAAATCTCGGCTTCCTGTTCACGTAGTTGCTCCTACATTTTTCATCATTTGAAAAACAAGCAGCTCGATGAGCCCACTAACTTGGTTGTTGACGGCGATCAGAACATCTTGTTTCAACCACAGGTTGCTCTTGAGTTCCTCAATCACGAATGGGATCAGGTTTTTAGCGCCAACGTGCTTAGGCACCATCCTCTCAAGATGTTAGAAACTGTGTGGCCTTACATCCACGACAAGCAAATCCCTGCCGACGTTCCTCGAGTTAGTGGGCTTGACCTTTTTTGGATCATCCAAAAGCGAACTGGACGGGTGGCGGACCACCGAACTGCAGTGCCTGTCACCGCAAGAGCTTCAGCCCTGCGCTGATTTCTTCACGGAGATCGAAGAGACAGATTTGCCCCTGCCGAAGTCCTTAGTTTGCGCAAAGCAAGTCATCCTTAACAAACCTGGACCCTCATCTGCACTTAACAAACGACTGATCACAATTTTGCCTGCACTTTTGCTCGCATACACAGGTGCAAGATTGCTCACCTACAAAAGTGGCAACAAGTCACGATGCCACAAAGCATCCTTGTGGGTATCAAAGGTCGCCACATGTCAGACCTTTATAATCAACTAAGATTAGACATCGATGATGCTAAGAGCCAAAACGAAACACTTGTTGGACTCAAACTTGACAAGGCAAAAGCTTTCGATAGGGTTGCTCCTTCATTTGTGGCTGCTCTTTTCCTTGCTTTTGGTATCCCTAAGGGAATTACCAATGTGTTCGTGAAATTGTATGATGGCCTACATCGGCACCTCACTTACCGAAAGTGGACCTGCCGAGTGCCACGACCACACCTAATGGGGTTTGCCAAGGGTGCTCGATGTCACTACTTGCAATCAACGTCTACAACAAAGTGTGGTGTCACCTTCTCGATCACCTCCCTGATATTTGCGCGCGCGCGCGTACGTCGATGACTCGTACCTGTGGTGTAAACTTCAGCACGCTGCTCTGCTGTCCAAAGCAGTTGAAGTCACCAAGATTTGGGACCTCCTTAGCGGACAAAAGCTTAATGAAGCTAAGTCATCCATGTGGGGGACTGATGCTGCTGCCCGCAAGAAACTGAAAGTTGACCTCCCTGCCTTTCCAATTGTGCTTGAACTTGACGTTTTAGGAACCAAGATTTATACGTCCGATCGTCTTGCTTTTGCTTTTTCGGAAATGAAGTTGAAAAAGATCCTTGAGGACACCGAGAATATTGCTGCCCTTCCTGTCCCCAAGAGAATTCGCAGCTTCCTCATCGGTAGCAAGATTGTTCCTCAATTTTCCTTTGGTGCACACATTTCCAAAATCCCCAAGAAAGCAGTGAAGGCCATTCAAAATGCAATAGCTAAAGCCCTGTGGGTTCGGCAGCCCATGTGGCGGTCCAAACAGCTTTTACAGTGTATTTTGTCACAGCCACACCGTACTGACCCGATCCTTGCACGTGCGTATCTCACGATCTTGGAAACCGTTCGGCTCTGCCACAACTCGCCCTGTGCGATTCAACAGATCCGACGGACCTGGCGTGCGAGTGGCCCACACAGCCTTTGTAATAGCCTTCGCACTGCCTTTGAGCTTCTTGGAATCCAGGTTGATCCTGACATTAATATTTCCTATTTGAACTCGCCGCCTGTTTCCTTGTTTGATCTCTCTCCCAAGTCGATCACGAAAGCTTTGCAGAACATTGTTCGGAATTCTTGCTACTCCTCAGTTGACCACCATGCTCGGAAAGACTTTTGTAAACCTGAGGGGGTTTTTGACTTTCAACAGACTTCCTTTTTGTTGAAAACCAAGCACCCGCGTTTTCAGTTGACACCAGAGAGGGTGCTCCGCCTTGAAAACATCCTGGTGGGGTGCACCCTTACCAACGACCGTCTTGCTGCCTCAGGCTGGGTCAATTCAGCGACGTGTCGTTTTTGCGGGCAAGAGAAAGAGTCACTGCCTCATTTACTGCAATGCCACAAGGTTCTTGAAGTTCTGGGTGCACCAGTGCATCATGAGTTTGGGAGCAATTTCACACTGCTTGGCCACTTCATTCACCGTGAATTTGTTGCCAAAAGGAGATTACAGTTCTCTGATATTCAGCAAATCCAAATTGCGCCTGCCTTCCATACACAGCACCATGAAAGAGTTTGGACTGACGGTTCCGTTGTTCGCGCTGACAAGTTTTGGATCACCAATGCGGCCTTTGCTGTTGTCGACGAGCAGCAAAACGTTCGATACAAAGGGGTTGTTCAGCATTGGAACCTGTCGGCCTACGTTGCTGAGCTCTGGGCCGTGATATTTGCATGTGCGAATGCCAGATTTCCTACAACAATTTTCTGTGATTGCCGCAGTGTTGTTGACCAAGCCCATGAGATCTTCGCAGGTGGCCATCCCGAGATGACTTGGGCATGTCACAACTGGTGGGTTTTCCTTCATCACGTTGTGGAGCTCCGGAGAGCCTTATGTGCCTCCCCCTTCAACATTGCGTGGATTCCAGCCCACTGCTTTGAGGGCATTCCAGTTGATTTGTTGACGGTTGATTTGGCTGCTAGCAGGCGGACAACGCTGGAACACATTCAAAACAACCGGATTGCGGATGCGGCTGCGAAGGAGCTTGCCAACCAAACAGCTTCAGTTGTTACAGAAGTGCAAAATCAAGTTCGTGGTGCTCTTATTCGTCACCAGCATTGGCTCATTGATCTTCATGAGCTCCTACCGACTCATCAGCCTGACCGCTTGGTCGAGAAGGAGAAAGCCAAACCGTCAGAGGAAGTTACCCATGCTTCGGCGCAGAAAAGGTTCCCTATGTGGTTGTCACGTATCCTCACTCTATTCGTGGGCTCCCAAAGTTCCGCAGAATCATGCTCCCACTGCAAGATGGAGTGGACAGGTGCAAGACTGGAACGAATGTTTGAAGTTCCTCAGAGGATTACGATGGCTTGTTGATGATGCGCAGTCTTTTTCTTTCAACGAACTTGCTGTGCTCTTTCATTGCAGAGGACATCATGCAAAAGACCGCGACCTTACTACTTATCTGGACCTTTATCGAGTTATTCGTGAGGTTTTGCAATCTCTGTCCCATGATGATGCCGTTCAAGCCCATCCAGGGGTATTCCATACGACCAAGCCAAGATGTTGTGGACGTGTACTCCCACAAGGGTGCATCGTTGGTGCGATCCCCTTTGTGACAGATAGCGAACGTGTACATATTGCGCGGCTCTTTTCGCAAGGTGCGGGGCGAACCCTCGCATCTTGGCAGGTCCCTCTTGTGGCCTGATTGGTGTACATGTTTGGGGCCTTTTTGTTGTGCATAGACCTGTGTGTCTCGCACAATGCGGACACCGTTTCATGGTGAGCGTCCGCAACGAGCGATAGTTACTAGTAGTAAGGCACTTGTTACTAGTAGCGATGCACTTGTTTC